CCCCCCCCCCATCTCCTACCCCTGGGTCCCAGGCCTGGATCAGGGCACCCCAGGAAGCTTCCTGCTGGGTGAGGAGACCCCATGTGGGGGGGGCCTTGTGGTGGTCAGACCCCTCCACACCCCCCCAAAGGGCCACGTGACGCATTCTTCGATTCCAAGGCCAGAAAGGACAATTGTGACCCCAGGATAGAGCTTGGGCTCAGCTGATTCCTCACCGCGCCCCCCCACATCTGTTCCAGACCCCCACCCTGCCCCCCCTCTGTTCAAGAGCCCCGCACCCCACCACACCCCCCACCCCACCTCATCTGTTCGACCCCCACCCCCCACTGCGCCCCCCATGCTGCCTCCCCTCTGTTCCAGAGCCCCGCACCCCCCACCTCCCCTCCCCTCCTCGCCCCCCACCCCCCTTCATCTGTTCCAGACCCCCACCCCCTACTGTGCCCCCCGTCTGTTCCAGAGCCCCGCCCCCCAGGTCAGTGCCCACCGCCTGGACCCACAGCCACGCTCTGGCCCTAGCTGCACGGCACATGGGAACTCACCTGGGACCGGGCTGAAAGCAGCTGCTGGAAGCCCTCCACCTCCTTGCTTTCCTCCACCGCCCGCTCCTGGGGAGGGAACGGGGCAGGGGGCGTGACCTGTCACCCCAAGGCCATCAGCACCAAGGTGCAGGGGCTGCCTGGCACAGGGGATGGGGGGTGGAAGGAGGCAGGGAAAGGGACACGGGGCCTCTCCCCTCTATGGGGCACTGGCCGTCAGCCAGCCCCAGGGCAGGGGGGTAAATGGCTGGGGGAGGGTGGAATGGGACACGGGGCCTGTCTCCTCTGGGAGCGCCAGCTCCCATCCGGCCCCAGGACAGGGACTGGCTGGCTCAGGGGGGCAGGGAATGGGACATGGAGCCTGTCCCCTCTGGGGGGCGCCAGTTCCCCAGGGCAGGGGACACAGGCTGGCTCTGGGGGGATGGAGCACGTGGGGGGCCGTTACCATGAGGACGCTCAGCATCATGTCGTAGTTGTTGATGAGGAAGATGAGCTGCTCCTTCCGCGATGAGAACTCAGCCGCCACCCGCAGCACGAAGTTCTCCACCTCCACCTGGGGCAGAGCCAGAGCTGAGGGGCCGAGCCAGTCACCCCTGTGCCCCAGGACTCCTGGGTCCCCTGGCTGGGTGTGCCCCACCCCCAGGGGCCCGAGGGAGCCCAGCTCCCCCCAGCTGCAGGACTCCCTTCCCATAGCCCTCTGGCAGCACAGGGCCCACCCTGGTATCCACTGCACCCCCCATTGTGCTGTGTCTCCCCCCCAGCAGGGCAGGGCCCCCCGTACCTGCAGCTGCCCCAGCAGCGTGTGGGTTCGCTCGTTGGGGAAGGTCTGGTTGATGCTGACAATGGCAGAGGAGAACTCCGCATAGCGCCGCGTGATCTGGGGGGATACGTGGGGGGGGGGGGGGTGGGGGCGCACAGGGGCCCCGGGGGCCCCCCAGACACCCCTCCCCTGGTGTTCCCTGACCTCCACCCGACCCCCCAACCCCCCCAAACTACTCACCCTGCCCTGGGCCACCCCCCCCCCCACTCCTCCGACAGCCCTAGCCCCCTTCGCCCCATATGAGCACCCACTAACTCCCCACACCCTGCAAAGCCCCCCCACCAACACTACCCACCCTTCCCAGGGTGAGCCCCCACCCCCCCTCTTCCCTGCTAGGACCCCTCCCCCCAGCGCCCATCCCCCCTACATAGTGGGGGCGCGTGTCCAGGAAGCCCAGTTTCTGGGGGTCCGTGTTCTGGATGCTCTGGATGTTCAGCTCCAGGATGTACTCGAACCGTGGCCACAGGATCTCCAGCAGCGTGTCCCAGTACCTGGGGGGGGAGCCGGATGCCTGGGTTCTCTCCTGGCTCTGGGCGGGCAGTAGGGCCCACTGGTCAGAGCAGGGGGCTGGGAGCTGGGACTCCTGGGTTCTATCCCCAGCACTGGGAGGGGAGTGGGGTCTAGTGGGGTAGAGCAGGGGGCTGGGAGCCAGGACCCCGGATCTCTCCCAGCCCCAGGTGGGCTGTGGGGCCCAGCGGCAGAGCGGGGGGCTGGGAGCCGGGACTCCGGGGGGCTCTCCCAGCCCCAGACGGGCTGTGGGGCCCAGCGGCAGAGCGGGGGGGGGTCCCACACTCACTTGTCGATGGCGGGGACGTTGCGCTTGGCCGTGATGGCTCGGAAGCGCAGGACGATGTGGATGCAGAGGAAGACGGCGATGCTGTCGTAGCAGTCGCACACGTACGCGTCCATGTGTTTCTGGGGGGCACACACATGGGGTCAAAGGGGCCGAGAGCCCCCACCAGCCGCCCCCTCCAGCCCCCTCACCGCAGCAACACCCCAGCATCTCCCCCCCCGGCCTGCCCCCGCCCAGCCCCCCCTCCCCTAGGCTCACCAGAAACATGGCCAGCGTCTTGCCCATCTCCGCCCCCCCGGCCTGCCCCCCGCCGAGCCCCCCCTCCCCCAGGCTCACCAGGAACATGGCCAGCGTCTTGCCCATGACGGCGTTGAAGAGCTCCTGGGCGCTGGGCCCCGTCACCAGGAAGAAGTCACAGAGGAAGAGATACTCGCGGCAGCTGTTGTCCAGCAGGGCGTAGTGCTGGCTGCGGAACAGCGACTCGAAGGGGTACTGCCGGGGGGGAGGGCGTGTTAGCTGGAGGGGACACAGCCCCACCCCACCCCTCTGGCTGCGGGACAGCGACTCGAAGGGGTACTGCTGGGGGGGGGGAGGGACACACACCCAGCCCTGCCCCCAACCTGCTTCCCCAGTGACCCCCCTGGATCCACTGGCCCTAAGAGGTCACAGCCTCCCGCCCCTCCCCCCCTAGCCAGGCCAAGCCTCCTGTCCCCGCCATCTCCTCCCCCCCCCCCGAACCCCCCCTTCCCCCCCCGGACGTCGCTCTTCTGGGCAGCGTGGGGCACAATGATGGGCCCCTCCAGCTCGGCCCCCAAGATCACACTGCCCCGGTTCCCCAGCGTGAAGATTGTGTTGCGGTTCTTCAGGGACGGCTTTGAGAAAAACCGTGGGGGGCGGGGGTCAAGGGAAAGAGCAGGGAGATGCTGCCCCCCCCTCACCTTCCCAGCCAGTCCCCCCCAGCCCCAGCCCCAGCCCCCTTCTTCATCCCAGCCAGCCCCCCCACCCTCAGCCCCACACCCTTTCCCTGCCCCGCAGGGTGCCTGGGAATGCGGCTGTCCAGGCACAGGGGAGCCAGGATATCTTTCTTGGCCGTGTCCTCCACACCCATCAGGTCATCCTTCTCCGCCACCTCCTCGTACTGCAGGACAGACAGACAGATGGGGGGGTCAGTGTGGGGTCCCCAGCCCCTCTCCTCAACACTGACGGACAGACGGGGGTCAGTGTGGGGTTCCCAGCCCCTCCTCCCAGCACTGCAGGACAGACAGACAGATGGGGGGGTCAGTGTGGGGTCCCCAGCCCCTCTCCTCAACACTGACGGACAGACGGGGGTCAGTGGGGGGTTCCCGGCCCCCCCCCCCAGCACTGCAGGACAGGGGGGGGGGGGGGGGGGTTAGCGTGGGGTTCCCCATCCCGACCCTGTCATTCACATGGGGGGGAACCAGAGCACACTGTGTGGGGAATCCCCACCCCCACACGCCTGCCCCATGAGGCTCCCTACACCACCACCCTGAGGGCTGCCCCACGCT